CTATGGGTTTAGTAAGCTTTGTATCGTTAAAACCATAATTATCTTGAAAATAAAATTACATACAAAATATTTAGATTTTGGCGTTAAATAACCTATAGAGGTTGATGGTTGATATGCCGCTAAACTAAAACTCCCAAGCTTTTACTAGTATTAATATTAATATTTGTACTACTACTAATAGTACTAATAGTAGTACTACTAATAATGTCAATTGTATTAATACTACGATTACTAATAATAGCATTTATAACAATACGATTACTACTATTAGTAATAACATAACTGCTACTAATAAGATTACCTGAGTGCTTATAATAGTGTTACTACTAGTACCACTATTAATAGCATTGTTATTAGTACTACTATTATTTATAATAGTTCCAACATTACCATTTGTAGTGTGCTATTAACAATATTAATATTACTACTAAAATGCTAATACGGGTATTCCTAATAGTATTAGTACTACTGATGATAGAAGTACTACTATTAATAATAATATTAATAAATGACTAAAACTTAGGTTTAAAAAAACGAGACACGTTTTTCTAGTCTCGCCAGATCTCGACTTTTATATGAAACCCGTACAAACCAGTTCAGAAATATCTAAACTGTCAGCTGTATACAGCCGCTTTCTAAGATTAATGGTTTTAAAATAGCATGGAGCGAATGAAGTATATCGGCCTTAGTGAGGACCATCCGTCTTCGAAAATTTTGCACTGGCGCTACACAATCGCAAACAAAGAACTGTATCAAATAACAACCAACGTTAAAACTTTTTTCTTGTATCACATTCTGTTGCGACCTGGTCGGGTGGATATATACCTACATTATATGGACGTTGATTTTAAGATCCAGTGATATCTACATATTATTGGAAGACGTTTCATTGTATGACTTTCTTTTGATAATGTTATTTGTTCCTTGAATAAACTATATCAAAATATTGGCTAACACTTGTTTATTGCTCAGTGTATCATCTGGTGGCTGAGTGAAAAATTAAATATTGTTCACTTCCATCATTTACCTGGCTTATGGGCAGAGACTCCTCTCGGGAAACTGACTCCCTGGTCTATAGGTAATTTTTGCCCGAGCCTATTGGGCTCGGATATCCCAATTTAAAATCGGCCTTGTGCCACATCTTGCTGCGTGGGGCAGAGGGTAAATACTTACTTCCATCAAACAGCCTTCTTGGTTCAATCCTAACTTATATCTGCATATAGACTATTTCGAAGTGTTAAATAACAAGGTTTACTAAATGTGGTAATATACAGCCGTATTCATGTCTCAAGCATATATCGTAAGCAGAGATGGGGGACAAAATTATGGGAAATGCTAAGGATCAACGAATGTTACTGACGGATTATAGCGAGGGCAACACATCAGGTTTCAGGATATGTAAACCGAAGAGAAAATAATTACATAATAAAGATGCTGATATTCCACACCACTTCAAACAAAAAGTTAGGAAGGAAACTCCCATCAATGTAGTGAGTAGTTAGCAACAAAGAATCTCTTTAAAAGTAACTAAAAGTTAACTTCAACTCCATATTTCTAACGTCTCCACCTAAATTTAATTACTTTTTTCTTCAATAGGAGTAGATAGGTTCGGCTATCGTCCGGTTCACACTTCTTCCCGGTCTTTGGAACAGGAATAGCGGTTTATCCCTTGTTTCCTGATTATTATTGAATTTCCAGTTCATTCTAAAGTCTTTTCTTTCTCTTTCACTTCCGGTTTCCTCTTGCATCTTGTTGGCATTGCTACCTTGCTTGAGATGTGGCTTCTTACTCTGTAATCCTCAAGCTCGAGTGGCTCTTCGTCCTTGTAAAAGGCTAACGTCACTGTAAAAACAAATAATAATAATGGAAAGACCAGTGACAGTGACTGGATTTTAGAAACTTATTTTCCAGAAAAAATGTTTTAACAGAAACATTTAAAAAAAAAACAACCAAAAGAGGCACTGACTGCTCAGCCAGTGTATGTCGAATGTTTCCTTATCAGGAAACGGTTAATATTATCATTAGTATTGCTATTTACAGGGAAAACATACAGCTGTTGACTTTGTCGAATATAAATACGGTGATTTGACACAGACATCTTGACATTTAAAGACAAAGGCGTTTGCTTTCCTTTGTGTCGATAAACACAGTAGGGATACGAAAATTCATTATGCTTTGTGAGATTAACATTTCTTTCTTTTTTCTTCATTTACCTTTTCCTCTCGTCTCATATATATATATATATATATTAACATTTCTTTTTTTTTTTTCTTCATTTACCTTTTCCTCTCGTCTATATATATATATATATATATATATATATATATATATATATATATATATATATATATATAGTGCTCAATATTAATAATATTAAGATAATATTAAAATAGACCGTTAATGATATTATATGAAAAGATGGCTTTTAAATATCAATTTTAACCCGACATTGATGTTTCTTGGTAACATTTCCCGTCTTCAGAAGTTGTTTTTTTTTAAACAGTATGTCTAATTTTTTCAACATTTTCATTTTGTGAAAAGTGAAAAACTTGAAAATATTGGAAACCTGGAAACTTCGCCTCCAATTTGATATTGGTAAATTTTGACCGTTAGGTGGTTCCGTAGTTTTATAGGTTTTAGTCACGTTACCCCTTGAGCTCCTCTCGACTATTAGCTTTATTTTAGTTTTCTAGGCCTTAGTCCGTTTTTGGCGCTAATTTCATTACCAGGATAATAATGCGTTTGCTGTGGTAAGTTTTTTTTTTCTCGGGTTAAGAATGGGAATTTGTCTACTCTATTTTTCTTGATAAACCTTGTCTGCACTTATATCGCTCACGCACACGCGTACACACACACACACACACACACACACACACACACACACACACACGCGCACACATCGACTTTCACATCTACCATTCGTCCATGCATGGAATTCTGTTGCCATATATGGTCTGGTGCCCCCGCTGTTAATCTCGGGGTTCTCGGCGAAATCCAAAGACGGATATGCCATGTGATTGGTCCTGACTTGAGGTCTCGAATCCAGTCACTTTCTCACCGACGTAATGTGGCTTCCCTCTGTCATTTCGAGAAATATCTTCATGCCATCTGCTCTGACGATCTATTTTCCATGGTGCCCCAACTGCATGAATTTAAGCGTGCTACTCGGTTGGCATCTTGGTCCCACCCTTTTACCGTCGAAAGAGTTAAATGTAACCGCCTCTGCTAACCCAACAGCTTTTTCTCTCGCACTTCCCGACAGTGGAACTCCCTTCCTCTTGCTTCCCTGATAACTATAATCTTCAAAAATTTAAATGTAATGTCAATCGATATCTTCTGTTTCCTTGATCCCCGTTCTATATATATATATATATATATATATGTGTGTGTGTGTGTGTGTGTGTGTGTGTGTGCGCGTGCGTGTGTTTCTTTAATGATAATTGACAAGGTACTGCGTTTAAGCTTTTTATTTTTCTTGTGTTCGTATAAGTGTTTGCCTTATGTAAAAAAAAAAAGATTAAAAATAATGGAAGCACTAATAATAATAAAAACAAAAATCAACATACAATAACATTAAATATGAACACGGCCACAATGGGCTGACCATGTTTGGAAAATAAAAAAAAATCCTATAACTTCAAATACATACAGTCTTGTTCGATAAAAGTGACTCACCAGATTTTTTTTTACTAAATGTTCTCTTGTCCGATGAAACGAAAGTTGAGCTAAATTCAAAAGAATACGCGATCTAAAATCCGAAGAAGCTTTCTTTCTCTCTTACTAAGCTCATAGTTGGCGGAAGAGTCTAACATAGACTCTTAGAGGGAGGATACCACAACACACACACACACACACACACATATATATTTATCTATAAATATATTACGAAATGGACAGTGTCGGACAATTATTTTAAGACATTTTTTAATGTTTATACGTTCTTTTTATAGATACAATATAGATATATAGATAAAGCATTTACTTAAATATTTTTATCTATAAAAGAAACGTATAAACATAAAAATGACTATATATATATATATATATATATATATATATATATATATGGTTATTTGCGATGTGTTGATTTATATATGCCCGAATTTTTAAAATTTTGACAAATGCAAGTCAGTCTTCGAGAAAGTGTAGTGTATGTGTGACCAACTCTTATCTGTACTAAGCCATCCAGATGGAGACGTAACGACAAACGAACACCTTAACTAAGGCTTCCTCGATTAATATTGTTAATCATTAATGCTCATATCTATTATGTTCTAGATATAATTTTATTGAATATTTTTTTCAATATTCCCTTAATGAAGAAATAATTGTATTTTTGTTTTAATTTGTATAAGATTTTCACTAACTTTACTTTAAAAAAAGAAAAAGAAAAAAGAAATCAAACAAATTTGAAAACAGAATTATCTTAGGGGAAAAACTGAATGGACCCTTTTGCTCGTTAGGATGATATGTCTATTTTTATTACAAAGAAAGACTTTGAATGGAGTTTATTTTTTTTCCCAAAGTCTTTCCGACGCTGAGCCAACTTTGACCGCTTCCTGTCAAATCTGAAGCGTCATTCCTTGGCATCAGAATCGCTTGCTTGTCCGACGCCCTTTGCATGTCGCTCTTTGACATGAACTTCTTTATATATATATATTTACTTCTTTTCCTACGGCACGAAGTGAAATCAGAGAAAGGTGGTAAAAAGATTAGGTTACGTCAATCTTTCCGAAGTGAGAATGTCCGTCCAGCTTCATATTTATCAAACTCAACAAAGTATGGCACAAGGTGAAACACAATTGGGGATATAGATTGATTTAATATTCACTGAGCAAAAGAAATATCTTCTTTTATAT